TGCTACATGATCCTGAACTTTTTGATCAGTCGATAATGCAGATTCTGCTCTTAATTCCTCTTCATTAATAAGCTCGCTAACAGTGGTAGGAGGTCCTACAATTCCTACTTCCATGTGTTCAATAGTCTCTATAGATTGTTTTGTCTCAGAATCTCTTCTAGATGATACAATTTCACTTATTACGACAATATTTGCTTTATCATTCACAATTTCTTTCACATTTTCTTTTTCTTTCTCTTTGTCCGTGTTTTTTTCTTTATTATCTTCACTATCACTTTTATTTTCTTGGTTTAAATTTTTGGATTCCACAGGAAGCTGTCGAACCTCCGATGAACTTAAATTTTCGTGTACTACTTTTAATATTTCATTCAACGTTTCCTCTTCTTCTGAAATATTTTTAATATCCTTAACTTTTGAAGATGAATTTTCTATTTCTTTAGAATTTTCATCATTATCGATCTTCTTTAGTCTTACATTCATCGTTACATCTTCTTTTTTATGTTTCTCATTTTGAGATGAAATATTTTCAGTTTTGTTAAAATCATCTGAATTTAAATTCGATTCATCTTCTTTTACATCAATAATAGTAACTACATTTAAATTCTCTTCAGAAGAATTATTTGTCTCCAAGTTATTTTTATTAGAAATATCTTGCTTTTCTTGCTTATCTTCCACTTTTTTCGTAGATGTGGTAGGATTATTTAATATTTCTTTCTTATCTGCTGCTTTTATTAAATCTATAACTTCTATTTTATTCTCTGCCATTTTTACATCAATATATTCTAAAGATTCATTTGCAATATTTGCATACATATAAATATGTAAGTAATAATGAATTTTTGAGGTATTTTAAATTCACTGTTATCATGTTACCATACCATATGAGCATATGGTATTATCGACAAGTTAAACTATAAAGTTTTTCTTTCAAGCAATATATTATCCATTTGTGTGTTTCATTTTTATTCTGCAAAATAAAATATAATACATTAATGTTATAATTAATAATTTAATAAATATACAATAAAACGTAGATAAACGTATATACGTATATACGATATATACGTATAAATAACTGCTCTCTTTTATCGACAGATAGTCGGTAAATGCGATTACATTAACACGAATTTATCTTAAAGTTTGAGGTTAGAATCGTACAATATTATAACAAACATTATACAATATTACAACATGATACAATATTACAAAAAAGAAAAGAAAGAAATAACAATAATAACACAATATCAATATATTTACAATTATATCGATATTCTATCGATATCATCTTTGTTCATCATTTGAAATGATGCAAAAGTTTTATCTATTAAGTAATAACATTAAAAATTGTAATAATTGAAGTTAAAAGAAACTATTTTCTGCGTGAATGATGTCTCAAACTTTATATCACCATTTCTATTTGCAGAAATAAAATTTATTGACTATTTTACGAATAATTAAATTATAAATCATTATTAAAATGTCATAGTTTATATAAAAGGGCTGTAGTTTATTTATATATTACTTTTACCGTGTTTTGCCAACCAATAATAATATTTAACAAAAGGTTATAACAATTGTATTTTAAATATATGAATTACCTTTTGTTATATTGCGTTTCACTTTATAATAATGAATATACACTTTATATTCACAATATGAAAAGCACTTCAGAAATAAATTGTAACATTTATTTGATTTGAAAGTTATTTAACGACACCATCGAAGTATAACATTGGCTGACACGTTCATAACCTCACTTATATTCTCTTTGACAATTCGATTACGATAGTGAATCAAAAGAGCACAAGAATAAAAGAACAATGTAACGTAATCATGTGCAATGTAACCAATATTAAAGAGAAAAAGATAAATCGAGAAGGCACATAAAATACTGTACACTAGAAGAATAAAGTCACAGGGACGTGTCAATCAACCCTGTTTTCTGTCTTTTTTCTCTTTCTCTTTCTTTCAAAGAGTACGCTTATTTTTACATTATGGCTGACGGTCACGGAAACAATCTGATCAAGACAATATGCAATATACTTAAAAAGAAGTTTTCACGATACCGAAGCAAAATGAGAACACGACCCCGTGGTACGTAAGGCTAGTGACCTCTACCTCTTTGAAGTGTACGTACTTATGTGTGCATGCATGTATTCCTGTGCGTCATACATTATAGTAAACCGACATGCTTACTTCTGATTTACTTACTATTATACGCATGTTGAACGTTCACGATTCAGATACTTATACAATCGTATTTTTCATTCGAAAAAACATCGTGAAATAGTTTAAGCCAATCATTGTACATATTGGTATATTTGCGTCGCATTATGTAGCATTTCATGTAATCTGTATCTTCGCGGATTTTTTTGTTCCGACCAATCAAACGCGTTTACACGTTTCTTTGACAGCGACGCCTTTCAAGAAAGACGAACACGATATTAATTGCCACTCTATTCAAGTTTATGAGACGATTTTTTACAATAAATAATGCAAACGTTTCACACACCGGAAAAATTGTACGTACTCGTAGCACACTGTACTCAGACTATTTTTCGTTTGTGGCCAAGCCGCGCGCGCGTGTACCCAACAAAATGGCCGCTGCACGATATATGTGGTTATTTCTCACTTATATTTTTTTCTTTATACATTTTTCTTTTATAACGTAATATTGTTGTTATTTATAAATGTAATATAGTGAACACCTATAACACTTTTAAAAAATGATTTGACCTATATTGAAATTAAAAATAATTTAAAGGAATGAATAATCAATCTCACGTGATAGGATAGCGCCAATTTTAAATATGGTAAGACGTAATAACAAATGTTTTACGAATGTATATTTGTTTTCTATAAAAAAACGTATTAAAAAAATATTTTTAATAACGTGAAATTTATTAATTATTAATCCATTATTAATTTAATAACAAAAATAAATAAGAAAAATTCGTAATGTATTGTAAAAAAAAAAAAAAAAAAAATAAGAAAAGTCTCCTAAATTACGATTTTACGTATTTTTACTAAAACTTACAAAGTGATTTTTTTACAGAATTTACATATTGTATAAAGTAAATAACACATATTTTAATATTTCTGATATTCATACAAAAAGTACATAGTACATATTTTGCACTAAGTTGAAATATTACCTTTTTAAACAAATAAATAAAATTATTTTTTAATAATAAATTATACCAAGCTATCGAAATATATATATCGAACAATATATTTAAACTTAAATTGGTCATATAAGGATTATGTGAATAATTTCTTTAAAAACATAAAACATATTGCATTGGTCTCGTATATTTACAGATTATTTATGATTTATAATCAATAATGTGTCGTACAATATATATATATATATCAACAAAATAATGTTTTAGTCATTCTTATAAAGCTAATAAAATCTAAAGGCTAAACAGTCAAGGTTGATCTAAAAGTTGGCTCCTCTCTGTACCGCGAACATTTTATTCGCCATCTTTTTCATGTTTGCTACCTAACAATAAATAAACAAACAAGTATAAATCTATACATTCCACGTGCCATCACACGTGGTGATCGAGAGTAAAGATGATAGTTAATATTTTGAACCACGAATCGCAGTGAACACGATGTCGAGCAGTCTCTTTTCAGTCTCTATCTAAATGCTTCTTAATCATAATTGTCTGAATAAAAATATTCAAGAACGTTTCCATGATATAGAACAAGGATATCTTTTTCTGTATATCTGAAAAATATTTTTTTTTTTTGAAACAATTTGTTGCTACATACAAGAAAATAACATTATTTTCTTTTTTTTTAAATTTCTGCTAGAAAAAGTTGGTACTTTTATAGAAAGTAACAATATTCTTCAGCGATATTTCACGAATATAAATATTAAAGACAATATACTTTTCCTTTTTAATTAAAAATATACATTATCTCCGTTATTACTGTGAAAAGTACGTTTCTTTAGAAATTAAAATATATATTTTCTACTCTACTTTCTATTTTTTTTAGAAAAGAATATTCAAACACATTTTTTTTATAAATTCCTTATTTAAAACAAAACATAACCAAAAACAACGGGTATTAACCTAATCATTAAACTAATCACATCCACGTTACAATTCAAGATGAAATTTTGAACAACGAAACAGAATTTTCATCCTTGTAAAACATCTTGAAAGATATTCGATAAAAATATATATTATTTCGAATCGTTTCGACGATTTTAAGACAGACAGAAGAGAGAGAGAGAGAGAGAGAGAGAGAGAGAGAGAGAGAGAGAGAGAGAGAGAGAGAGAGAGAGTAGTA